AGAATGTCAGTCAAGCGTAATTCTCTCAGTACGTGCATAAATAATGTAAAACTTTAATGTAATTAATTGGCTAGAAAAGTAAATGCAATAGAAATTTCACTGAAAATAATATTCCCCATTTCAAAAATTAGCTTTCTCATTTCCAAAAAACGTATTACAAACTCAGAATTGTCAGAGACTAGCAGAGTATCAAGAAAGAACATCGGTGTTCAAATGAACTAAATGGATTACGTTTCATAATAAATTCATTATTGTTTCCTGATTTCCATTTTCATACATTCCTTTATGTCTTAGCCTTCTCACATTGTATTGATTCACTTAAAAAATAATTTTACTTTTCTTTCTTCTTTCACTTCGAATCAGTCCAACAAATCTGACTGTTTTCGTTCTCTTTTCTAAGCCTTGAAATGGTTACTTTACTTCTCATTCATTGTCCTTTCACATTTTTACCCACTTTAAATAACCTTTTCTCTGTAGATATTACAATAAAGACTGAAAAGTATCAATAGAAGGCTCTGACAGCTGAGCCTTGACTAGCGTTTTCGTGATCTAAATGACAAAACAAACAAAATATCACTGAGGGTTACCTTCTGCTTACATGGGCATGGGTTACTGTCAGATAAACTTGTTTTTGTCACTGTCCTTTTAGTTTGGGTGCACTTTTGATGTTAGCCTCTTTGCCCCTCGAATGCCCACAGAAGGGCTGGGCATGCTCTAGTATCAGTGAATTCTCTTCAGCAAAGCGTGCTGATGGTGCAGGTGGTGACGTGTGGAGGGAACAGAAAATACGTAATAGGTATCCCACATCAAGGTGAGTTATATAGCATGTTAGAAAGTAATAAGTGTATGAGAACAGGGCAGCAGGGAAGGAGGATAGAGGACATGGGCGTGTGGGACGCTATTTTAAACTCCGTAGTAATGGTGGGCTTCTTTGCCACAGAGACGTTTGAACAGAGACTTGAGGGAGAGGCGCTGTCTGGGAACAAACTTCCAGGCCAGAGCGTGGTCGGCACAAAGGACAGGAGGCAAAATACTACTGAGAGTTGAATGTATTTCTAGGATATATTTTATGGCCTATTTTACTTTTTAATATTTTATTCCACTTTAGGCTATTTGTAAGGGGTTCATGTTTGTTTATATATATATATACCTTTTTTTTTAATTGCCAGAGGGTACATGTGCTCACCAGAAAAATAAAAGGCAACCCCCAGTGCAGCACGGTCATGCCATAATCTCTTTCCTCCATTTCTCTATACCTTTAGGATTTTGAGCACTCATGTACATGTGCCCAGTGTGTTTTCTCAAGCTGCCAGGGCCAGCATTTGAACTGCCATCAGCCAGGCGAGATCCAGCTTCCTATGCACATGGCCGGCCCTGTCAGTAAGTTTTTCTTTTTTTTTTTTTTTAATTTTGCCAGTGAACTTACTGGAGCTAGAGGAAGAGAGCAGAGGAAAATGGGAAAGCAATCCCTTCACCCCCGTGGGGCACTGTCATGCTATAATCCTTCTCTTTCACTTCTCCCTCTTTCCAGGATTTTGAGCAAACATGCACATACACCCAGCATGGTTTTTAAAGCCATCAAGTCTAATTCTTGAACTACGGGGTCAGCTTTATGGGATCTAGCTGCCTCAGTCGCCACCTGTCCGACCCAATATTTTTAAACTATAATTTTACTTATCCCTAACTTGAATACCTAGAAGCTACACATCTAAGGTTATGGGCTGGGGAGAAAGAAATCATGTCTAAGAAGTCAAAAGTAATTGCAGAAGCACTGACTAATGCTGGATTTAAGCTAACAATTTTTTTCTTTTGAGAGGTTTTTGCTATAGGGCCCGTGCACTCACCAGAAAGAGAGAGACAGAGAACAGAAGGCAAAAGTCACCCCCTAGGGGAGATGGCCATGCCACAATTCCTTCTCTTCTATTCTCCTCTTGGGATCTTGGGCACGCACACACACATGCTTGGCGTGAGTTTAAGCCACCAGGTCCTGGAATTGAACCATGGGCGGCTACGTGGGAGTCTGGAGACATAGCCATTATGCCAACTGCTGGGCCCTAAGCTAACAATTTTTAAAAGGTGATCCAAGTAGGATTTTAAAAATTATTATTTGCTAGAGAGTACATGTGCTTATGGGAGAGAGGGAGAGAGAGAGAAAGTGAGGAGGCAGGCACCCCATAGAGGGGATGGCCATGCCACAGTCCCTTCTCTATTATCTTCCTGGGATTTGGGGCTGCACACACACACAGTTTGTTTTTAAGCTGCTGGGTCCAGGACTCAAACTGTAGTCCACTGTGTGTGATTCAGCGACTTTAACCATTAAGTCACTGACTGACCCAAAGAAAAACATTTTATTAAAAATAGTCATCTTTGTTGTCATCTCTGTCATGTTTGGCCTTAGTAATGAATACTTCAGTAGCCCTGCTTAAGAACTGACCTTGTGCCTTTTTGTGTTCATTCCTTTTGGTTGGTTATTGAATCCTGTTTCCATTTGGTCTGTGGCATTTGGCCCAAAGATGTCGAACCGAACTCTACATCCTCTCCCAAAATATTGGGTTGTCAAGAAAGTCATGATGCATCGTTGAGTAGAAAAACAGAAAAATTTGTCATGCCTTTCCTGATGGCCTGATATTTATTTAAAAAAATTTTTTTTTAACCTCAAAATGTCCAAAGTAAAAATTCTACAGACCTCAACGAACATCCAGAAAACCACCTTCGTTCATGTCCTATGTCCCTTACTGAACACAAACTGAAATAAAAGGGCAGAAAGAGCAGCATAGACAGTATGTAACAGGTTAGGAAACAACTGCAAAAGAATGTTATCAGAATAAAATTAAATTACAAAAGTAAACTTGATTATAGTAGAAAAGAAGTCAGGCATCATTTGGTTCTAGTCAGCCTTTCTAGGTTGACAAAATATGAAGCTGTAGAGGAAGACGACAAAAATCTGTACAAATGCTAATTAAATTAAAAGAACAAATCTAAAGGCGGCTCCTTTGTAGAGCTATTTACCATCCTAATTTTCTGATTTTCTAGAAAACTGTGAAATGATATAAGCCAGGCAAACTCACATCAACTCGAGACATCTATGCACTCTGGAGGCCTATTCAAGTGCTCGAGATAATACATAAATCCAAGTGGACAAGAGACAGAAATGTTTCAGGGGCACGGGCAAGAATTTTCCACCGATGAGATTACACTGACAGAAATCACTGAATATGTTATTTTCAAATTGCTACTTACTATGACTCAATATTCTAGAAATGTGTATGCTTTCATAGAGATAATGACGACCCTTAACTTAGAAAATGATTATGTCAAAGATTGTAGCTCTTCAAGGAGCACAGTTTTATTTTAATGTTTATGCATTTCTGCTGTTTTTTTTTTATTCAACATTGTTAGATTTTTTATAGTCATTTCATTAGTGTCTTAGATTTGCGGTGAGTACAGAAAGAAAAATAAGTTAAGAAATAGATTAAGTATGTGATGAAATGGTAGGGAGATTTGTATCAAGCTACAATAGGGTCATTTGAGCCACAACGTCACAAAATAGTGATAAATCAAAACTAACGTGCTAAATGCTCTACAGGGAGGGCAAATAATTATTTTCTTTCTAAAAGTTGCCTTCAAGAAATTCTTACACCATTTTAAAAGGCAGTCTTATCTTCTGCAGGAAAGAAACAGACTTGTGTCCAACAGGCCTTAACTGAATTTCTAGCTCCGCCATTTTTTTTTTTTTCTTTTGGGAGAGGTTTTTGCTATAGGGCGTGTGCGCTTGCCAGACAGACAGAGAGAGACAGAGAGACAGAAAGCGAGAAATCACCCCCCGGGGGGATGGCCACGCCGCAATCTTTTCTCCCTTCTCCTCTCGAGATCTTGGGCACGCACGCACACGCGCCCGGCGTGAGTTTAAGCCACCAGGTCCGGGACTTGAACTGCAGTCGACTACGTGGGAGTCCAGCAACAGCCATTACGCCAACTGCCGGTCCCTAGCTCCGCCATTTTAATAAACATGTGTAACTCAGGAAAATCAGATAAGCTTTGGATAATTAATTTTTAAAATGAATATAAATCACATACCACAGTGCTTAGACTACAAAGGGCATTACTATCCCCTCACTTTCTTTGTCGTATTTGCTCATAGCATATTGCTTTTCATTGACTTTTAAAAATATCTCTTTGCCTATGTAATGTTTATGTCATTTAAAAACACATCTTTTACGTTGGTCCTAGATATAGCAAATAGTTACATAATATCGTTTCTAACATTGCCAGCATCATCCAGTTTTATTTGTGTTAGAAGCTTCTACAAGACTTAATCCGTTGCTTGAATCAAACTGATTGCACAGTTTCCCAACAAACTCGGAAACAGTAAAAATTTTACTGTCTTTAGAAAACAGGCTAGTCTGATGACTCCATTTTCATCAAAGTTCCTTAGGGGGACCAGCAGATGGCATAATGGTTACGTTGCTGGACTCTCACATAGTCAAGGCCATTCAAGTCCCAGACCTGGCAGCTTAAAAATTACGCCGGTATGTATTTGTGCATGCTCAAGATCCTGAAAGCAGAATGGAAGAGTAAGGACTGTGGCGTGGCCACCCCCGCTGGGGGTGATTTCTCACTTTCTGTCTCTTTGTCTCTCTGGTGAGTTCATGTGTCCTATAGCAAAAATCTCTTAAAAAAAAAAAAAGAAAACCCTGGAACCAGCAAGTGGCATGGTGGTTAAAGGTGCTGGACTCCCACATGGCTGACCATGGTTCGGGTCTTGGACCTGGTGGCTTGCTTTCTCACTTCTTCTCTCTCTCTCTGTCTCTCTGATCAAACTGGAAAATAATAATGATAAAAATAATAAATAAAGTTAAAAAAAATGTCCTGAGGAATAACCCAAGATAAAATACCTTAAAAATATGTAAACTATCTCAAAAACCAAAATGTTAATATTAGAACATCTTGGACTGTGAAATATGTCATGAGTCAGTGTCCGGTGAGTATTTTGAACTTACTTTGCATTAGCAGGATTGCAAGTGGTTAGGTTTGCCAGGGCCAGAGCGGCTGCTTCCCTTATCTCATCATTGTCGCTTTTTAGCAACTGAATTAACTGTGGAATCCCTATGAAAAAGAAAGGTAAAATGGGACTTTAAAAAAGTCCATGTACAGTACCCTAAAAATGTTCAAAATACCTGTTTCCCGTGTGCCTACCTTGATTATTGAAAAAATCTTTGCTGCCTGAATTCTCACACATGGCCGAAATCGCCTGGGCCGCGGCAACTTTAGTCCCATCGTTTTCGGAACCCAAGAGGGCTACGAGACACTTCTCAACCTCCTGCTCGTGAAAAAGTTTCCTATTTTCAGCTTTCGTGAGTCAAAAGAAAAAAGTCAGAATTTGACTGTGAAAATTGTGCAAGTATTATAACTTAACTCATTCAGTGAATGCTAAGAATGAAAACCACTTGCTAATTTCAGGACCAGGGTCTAAACTCAACAAGATACAGGTCTATCAACACCTTTAGGACACAGCGATTATACACAGTGAACCATGCGTGTTGCACTTTTCCCCCATTCTCTTACATGTTAACAACATTATTTCAGAGAAACATAGAATAAGAAAAAGGCAAGTTTTCAGAATTAACACACAGGACTCTAACACCAACCGTGTGCCTGGTGGGGTGTTGATAGTTCACCCAGGCTATCTCCTCACTGAGGACCCAAAAGCCTATTTATCTGATGGTATCTGAAATATAAACACAATATTTGAATGCTGCCTGAGATGCACAGGCCGGAGTGCTGGATATTGAAGACTTCAGAAGAAGGGTAAAGGAGAGGAGAAAGGAAAAGCAAGCAGTGAAAGTGATCCCAAGTCTGCAGAAACTTACAGTCTTCTATCGAAAAAGCATAACCATCTTTGGCCTCAAATGACAATGTTTGCTTAAGTAGTAGAAATGGAAACCATCCTTTAACTGATACATCATGAACATAATTTAAAAATACATTAGAATAGTTTTACTTGAAAACAGATAAAGTTATGACCTACAAACCATGACATTCGTCCCATTATCATCCAGTACATTGGAAATCAAAGTATCGTTAGTATCCTTTGTTCCCTAGATATTTCTCTCTTGATTTAGTTTTTTCCATAAACGTAACCTCATTATTATGCTAAAATAAATATTGCATTAAACTAACTTACAGAATATTAAAACTTAATGCTTTGTTATATGTTTTATTAATTCTAAACCATTTTTTAGTTTGTGTCCTGGTTAATTCTAAATGAGTTACAATTGATTAAAACGCATGCTAGAAAAAAAATATATAGTGAACTAAACTTAATTTCAATCCCACAAAGACGTAGCAGGGATTAAGTATGAAAAGAAACAGCTTACACAGAACTTCTTCCTAAATTATTTACCATTCTTGTGAAAAATCTTGTCATAGAGTCAATTCTTCATTAATAACGTTTATCAAGTTTATAAAATTCATCTTTGCAAAGTCAATGTTCATGATTAAAAGAGAAGAACACGTAAGACATGTTTGGGATGTTCATGTATAAAAGAAGACTATTCAATTTAGGATGAGAATCTCTACGAAAAATGCTGATAACTCAGAGGAAGGCATCTACATGCAGAACTCACTCATTTCTTAGACATATTTTAATTAACTTGCTTTTTCCCAGAAAATGTGTTTAAGTATAAACACATGAAATATTTCCAAAATGTTGTTGGAAAGTATCAGCAACTAGGTTTCTGTTTTAAAGTGAAAATATCATTTTCTCCCTTCCTTTTACAATGATTAAAAAAAAAAAATCATTCAAAAAATGTGCCCTTTTCTACAGAAGCAGGATCACATTCGGATGGCACCATTTTTGCAACGACTTCTGGCCTTTGTTCATCTGGTCCACAGACGTATGCCGACAATCTGGCCATAGCTGGCGCGGGCGAAGTCACTAAGCGTCTACTCCTTCCTCAAACCCATCGTGAACCATGTCCTGTAATCCTATCGCTTTAATCCCCTGCTCCCTTCACTTACCATTAGAATCCAGGCAGGCCAGAACCGTGGTTCATAAAAAAGCTGCAGTTAATACTTAAATCTCAAGTAGGTGCCTCCTAACATGTTGCGTGTATATGTAATCCTTACTGGTTTTCTCGGAATAAATAATACCTGCAACTTTTCTAGAGTCCCTGACTTAAAGTGCTCAGAAGCCCCCGAGGGCTCTAAATCAAATTTCCTAAACAGAACACAACTGAGTACGGATTCCATCAGGAAAATCAGCCGAGATCGTTCATTCGAAAAGACTAACTTTAGAATATGTGATTGTTGCATTCCGCAAACAGGATATACGCGATTATTGCAAAGATTCTGAAAAAAATAATTTAAGTAAATACTGTGGGCAATTAGTTTCTCAGCCCTGCTGGGAGTGTTCTCAAAACCCAGCTGTGTTCACAAACCTCAAAAGTGCTGACTGCAGCGTGACTATAATAGATTTACAAGATGAATTAACATGTTAACCAAGTCCATTCATTGAATTGCTACGTGAAGTAAAGTATTTGTGTTTTAATTACATGGATCCTCAAGATGGCAAGATAGTTATGCTACTAATAATGTCCTTTAAGAATCACATTTGTTCATATCGCTAAAACAAAAAGCACAGGGTCCTATCTGGAATGGATCTGTCCGTAATGAAGCTTTTCTTCACCCGTTCTCAGAAGTTGCTATTGAGCCACCTTCGCTCCTGCTGAGATGTTAATGCCAGTTCATAAACCTCGAGGCAGCCCAGTAATTAACACCTTCCTCCTACCCCACCAGGTCAAAGGCACACTGATTTGGGCTTTCCACAGTGGGGCCCCCTGTTTTACTTTTACTTGACAAACAGGAATTTTAAAATGTGCGTTATGTGTTTTTCACAGACAAGGACAAGGCATGACCTCATCAAAAAGAATGATGATAGAAAGTAAAAAAATAAAGTCATAAATTCATGGGTAGTGACATTGTTCTTAATAACAATGTAAGGAGCGACATTTGTCAAAACCTACGTATGAGTGGAGTTTCCCAACTGTGGGGAATTTTTAAATCTTCTTTATGATGATTCACTTTGAATATGGAAATATTAGGAGATAACGTTGCTAATCCTTCTTAATTATTAGCATTTGTCACTGTAACGAATGTAAGACACGGTCAGTTAGGCGGGGCAAGCACATAAAAAGTCAAGGCCTCCAACAGTTGATATAAAAAGGTGTCGAAAAGAAATACAAATGGGACCTGAAGGAAAGGCAAAGTCTAGAATGCAGGTAGGAAGGAAGAGTTATCTTTGTGGATCTGGCCAAGCAAAAAGAATTAAGAGGTTAAAAAAAAAATCAACAAAAATAGAAGAGAATGATTAGGCGAATGATGAAAATGTCAGCCTATTTCTAGCGCTGCCCTAGAGATTCTAGCTTAGGCCATATGTATTCCCATCAGCTGTGGGCAGCTCTGGGGCCAGCAGGTGGTTGGTGGTTAAGGTGCTGGACTCACATACAGCCAACCACAGGTTCAAGTCCCGAAATCCTGGAGAATGGACAAGGGACTGCAGTGTGACCACTGTCCCCTGGGGGGGAGGGTCGGGAGGGGTCGATTTCTCACTTTCTCTCTCCCTCTCTCTCTCTCTCTAGTGAGTGCACACACTCTATGTCAAAAACCTAAAAAGAAAAAAAGAAGTAGGCAGTCCTGCCCACAAATGTTATGTCAAGGCAGTTCACAGTCCTCACGGGAATTCTGCTTCAGGATAAGCTGGAATGGAGAGATTTCGCAAAGCCCCATGTTTTCAATCAGGAGAGAGTTCATTGTTGAGGACTTACTGCTTATGTGGACAGAAAACTTTAACCTTTTGGGAATCATATATCTTTCAAGAGGCTCCCAGAATTGAGAATCAAGCCTTCAGAGTAGATCTTGCCAAGGCTGTAAGAAAACCAAACCAACAGTGTACCGACTGGGTGTGAAGATCCCTCTGACACGCTTTTCCAGTGTTTGTACAGTCACCAAAGGGAGAAACAATTACAACAGGAGATGCCAGAAAGGATGGGGGACGGTGACCAGTTGAGTAAATTGAATGATAAAATACAGACTTCTGCAGGAATATATGAAAATTGCAAGACATTAGCGAAGAAGCTCTACTGTCATACAGACGGACAGCTGGCTGAGGGATGTTAGGGATGATGTCAATTCTTCCCGTCTGAAAAATGGAGGTTCTGTTGAGCAATGAAAGTTAAATTTTCTGCTGCGCTTCCTTGGTATTCCAAAGTAGCAGGGTCAGATTACTTAAACCCATGCACAGATGGTTGCTTTAATCTATCATAGTAGGAACAGACCATGCTGTGAGAAAACTGGCAGCATATTCAAAACAGAGTGGGTCGTATTAGGTTAAAGCATGAGAAAGTGCATTTCTATTTCTTAAGGACAGAAACAGAAACCAGTTCTTTTATTAACATCATGAAAAGCAATGAAATGAACAAATATGATTTTCCCTCAAAATCTAGTAATTTGAAGAACATGGATCCTGATAAGTCAAAACAGGATTTCCAAAAGTGAAATTTAGACTAAAGGCCTAAACCAAAGCAAGTACAAAATTATGATTTGACATGTTCCATGCTCCAGAACACAGTGGAGAATGTCTGAGCAAGAACAAACTGATGGCCACTTGCATCAAATGGAAGAATCTCGGATGTCAAGTGAGGGTACCCAGACTCGATCTCACTTGTTCTAGTTTAAGAGGTATGGGATCAGAAGTCGTGGGTGGGCTTTGGGCGGTACGTGCACTCCCCTGAAATGCAGCATTTGTACATGTGTACGTGTGGGGAAGATTACTGTGAACTGACTCTCAAGGAAATTCAAGACTCCCCAGGGTTGAGCTTGGGCAGTAGCTGAGTGTGCTTAGCAGCAGTCAGGGATACACGCAAGGATTCAGAAGAGAGATCAGAATTAGGAAGGCATTTCAGATTCAAAAGCAAATAAGGAGGCAGTGGACATATTAGTTATGAATGAGATTGCTCAGGGAGATTTCAAAGAGAACAAGACTGAGACAGAAAGGTAGGCCAAAAGGCATAAAGGCAATATTAAATTGAAATGATAAGCAGAGGACTGGACACTGGCTAAGGTGAGGGGCTGGTCTGAAAACTCAGAGAATGACCAGAAGAAAGGGGTTTCAGGGGGACGGGGCAATCAATGGCATGGAATGCTACACAGACATCAAGTAAAATAAGACTGTGTGTGTGTGTAGGAACTGGAAGGTCCAAGTCAAATTTTACAAGCACTATTTTGGCAGAAGGGTGGACACAGCAGTCACGTGTTGTAGGTAGGGCAATGGAGATGAGATGAAGAGGTGGAGTTGCGTACAAGAGACTCCTCTGTCAAAGAGGCCGACTGAGAAGCCAAGGAGAAAAAGCACCATGGGGCGAGGGCAAGAGAGGAAGAACAGATTTCCATAATGACCTTGGTGAACACATAATTATGAGCTCCTCACGATGCTCCAAAATTCTACCGGCTTCCTCCTATATAGCTCCTGGGACCGGGAGAAGGTAAGACTTTGGTGTTACAACGCCACTTGGGAGAACAGTCTCCTCATCATCCAAAAGCAGGCTAAAGAATTCCATCGCCATCCCTGTTGATGAGGAAAACAGGCAAAGAGCACCCCTCAGACTCATCGTCACTAAAAGCAGCCTAGGTAGAGCACTCTACATTCCACCGTGAACATTAAAAACTGAAATTATAAGAGACTGCGTAATGGATATGGAAGAAAGAGAACAGAGGTGGTCTTCGGGGAAAAAAAAAAAAAGAAAAGTATATCTTGGGGCAAAAGATGAACTGAAACAAAAATAGTAATCAAAAGTACAATACAAAACCAATAGTTTCCTGAATTAGGGTGGGAAAAGACTGAGCTTGGAGATCAAAAGGCTTTACTATGAGGCCAGCTAGTGATGCAGCAAAAATACAACTAGGTTCACATGAAACGTCCTGGGTTTGCATCCTGGGACCTCCCTGGGCATGCTCATGCCGTGATCCAAGCTGGCTGAGACTGGGGGTGCCTCGTGGCAGTGTCTATCTCTCCTTCTCATGGAAGAAACAAATGAGTAAAACATAAAAAGTAGAAAAGGAAAAGGGGGCCGGCCAGTGGCGTGAAGGTTAAGGGTGCTGGACTCCCACATGGCCGACCATGGTTTGAGACCTGGAGAAAAAGCACCATGGGGTGAGGGTGAGAGAGGAAGAACAGATTTCCATAATGACCTTGGTGAACACATAATTATGAGCTCCTCACGATGCTCCAAAATTCTACCAGCTTCCTCCTATATAGTTCCTGGGACCGGGAGCTGCTCCTGGCGGCTTACCTTCTCACTTTCTCTCTACATGAATGAATGAAGTTAAATAAAATAATTCTTAAAAAAAATAAAAGAAAAAGGCTTTACTGTGTTGTAGAGAGGAGGAAAGAGAGACTCAAACATTTTAGCAAATTTTTTTTAACTCAGAATTCTAAAGACAAAGCACAACTAAAGCAATAGCTTCCAATAAGCCAAAGTCAAGAGCAAAAACAGACTAATCAAGAACAGAGGTAATGGCACCAGATTTGGGGGATATTCAAGGCATTTTCTTAAAAGAATTATTTTATTTAACTTTATGTACTTATTTAAATTTGACCAGAGAAGGACAGAGTAAGAAAGAAGGAGGGAAGAAAAGGGAGAAGGCAAGCCACCAGGTCTCCAGGACTCAAACCACAGTTGGCCATGTGGTAGTCTAGCACCCTTAACCACCACACCACCTGCTGGCCCCACTCAAGGCATTTTACAAGTTGATTTTCTAGAGGTCCAAAGAACAATAACATCTGTTTATTATGAGAGACTTTTGAAAAAATTAGTCAAAACTAGAGCAGAAAAATGCCTGGGAAAGCTTCACTGAAAAGTCCCTCCACCAATTCTCCTACTCATTGTATCATCCAATAAGGGCGACTTTGTGAGAATTTTTAGAGGAGATCATTAGGCTTCCATTTTATAGTCCTAATTTAACTCTTCTGACTTCTATTTGCTTCCTAATCTTAAAAACCAACCAACCAACCAAACAAACAAACAAATCCAAAAACCTTTAAAAAGCACACACTTTTCTTCAGTTAATAATATAAAGAACATCTGCAGTGACATGGTGAAATTCCCAAGACCCTCAGTTCTTCAGGAATGGACTGGATGGCTGGTATCAGGACTTAAAAAGGTGTCTTGGTCTTTGGGACCAGTATATGGCGTGGTTACGTCACTGAACTCCCAACATAGTTGACTGCAGTTTGAGTCCCAGACCTGGTAACTTAGAACTGATGCCAGGCACGTGTGTATGCATGCCCAAAATCCTGAGAGAAAAATGGAAGAGAAGGGATTGTGGTGTGGCTATACCCCCCGGGGGGGGACTTCTCGCTTTCTGTCTCTCTGTCTCTCCAGTGAGTGCACATGCCCTATGGCAAAAATCTCTCTTAAAAACAAAAACAAAAAAAGTATCTTGATCTTGAAGGAGAGTGTGTTGAGAACTAATGTTTATATTTGTATTTTTAGCTTTTCAGTTAATTTCCATGAATGTTTTGGAGCCCCTTGTATGATTTAACTCATGAGGTGCCTCTGTGTACACTCCCTGCTTACTGCATTAAAGCTTTGCCTTGAAGAAATCCAGGCCGGGCTGGAAAGAAAATGTTTCCCTTCCTGTACATACAGACATAGGTACAGATATAAGTACATTATTTAGAATATAAATCACTTAAAGTGGTTAAAGCTGTCATCATTTGTAACAGTAAAGATGCAGAAGGGGAAAAATAAAATCACATCTTTTATTAAGGAAAATACTCCAAATATGCATAAATTAAAACTATAACTTCATCCTCATCACTTGTGACATCATTAATCTCTCATATTTTATAGATTTATGTCAACATCACTTGTCACAGGAAGGAAAACTGAATTATGTACATAGTGTGAGCACATTACTTTTCATGGCCATGTAACACGGCACTGTTAGACTCCAGTAGCAACTTGAAAACTACCTTATAGATAATATTTTTTGTTTTTGTTTTTGTTTTTGTTTTTGTTTTTTCAGGAGAGGTATTTTGCTACAGGGCACAAGCACTCACCAGAAAGACAGAGAGAGACAGAGAGACAGAAAGCGAGAAATCACCCCCCAGGGAGGATGGCCATGCTGCAATCCCTTCTCCTCCATTCTCCTCTCAGGATCTTGGGCATGCACACACACATGCCCGGGGTGAGTTTAAGCTGCCGGGTCCGGGACGCAAACCGTAGTCGACTACATAGGAGTCCAGTGACATAGCCTTTACGCTAACTGCTGGTCCTCTATTTACTTATTTTTTAATTTGACCAGAGAGGAACAGAGAGAGAAAGTGAGAAAGCAAGCTGCCAGGTCCAGGACTTGAACTGTGGTTGGCCATGTGGTACTTGAACCGTGGTCAGCCCTATGGGAATCCAGTGGCCTTAACCACCATGCCACCCGCCGGCCCCTATAGATAATATTTTGAATGTGGATATCTTGAAACACTGCTTTCAGGATCACGGTCTACACATACATTCTTAACCACCACACCACCAGCTGGCCCCAACACATACATTCTATGTATTTCCACATTCAAGAGAAATAAAGGCTTAAAACAATTTTGAAATGAATTATTTTTAAAAAGACAATTATAATGAAGTAATACCAAGTTTATTATATCTCCGACAAAGCAATCTGTACTTTAACTTGACAGCGAGATGAATTCTGGCCTTAAGTAATACTTACGATGCTACTCGCAAATAGTTATGCAAAGCCAAATACTCCAATGTTTATTAGTATTAGTAAAACTTTAGAAAACTAGAGCAATTATGTGTACTTAATCTATGTAAGATGAGACATACGATCATAAGCTGCTTTAGCAATTGCTTTTGCTGCATTCTTCTGGATGTCAGGAACTGTAGAGTTTTCTGCAAATACCAGGAACTTTTTCAGACCCCCTGTCTGCTGAATCAGCACCATGGTGTCCATATCTTCGAGGCAATTGGCTATCACTGAAAGGGCTTCTATATGAAGGTCATTTAATTCCTAATAATAAAAGCAAATGCAGTTTTAGAAGTTGTACTGAAAGAAGTGGACACTTCCCAAATTTTACAGCAAGGGACACTAAGGTTGATCAGCTATAATGTAATTAATTTTGAGTGACGGAGGCCGAGGAAGCAGGAGTTCTGTTTATTAAAGTAACATTAACCTCCCTAACGATTTGCTCCATCATCCCTCATTTCCCTTACTTCAAAATGTTTTATGAATTAACCATGATGCCACAGGAGAAGCTTTTGTAGCGACAGCCAATGGAAGTTGCCCATGCAACCTTCCCCCCAAAACTATTTTAAAACTTGCAGAAACTATTTTGTGAAAAAGCAGAGAGAAACTGACAAAAATACATTCCTTAAAATTTGCAAATGAATGGGGGCTAGCCGGTGGTGTGGTGGTTGAGGCCTTGGACTCCCACATGACCAACCTGGTGCAATTCCTGGGCCTGGCAGCTTGCTTTCTCACTTTTTCTCTTTCTCTCTCTGTCTCTCTCTGGTGAGCACACATGCCTTACAGCAAATTTAATAATAATAATAATCCTAATAATAAGTAAAAGCTAAATAAATAATTCTTTTAAAAAAGTTGCAACTGGTATTGTGAACTCGTGACTTTCTTGCCTGAAGAAACTTGAATCCCTGTGCAATGGAACACTGCAGCCCTACCTATCCTAACAGCTGGAAATTTAAGGTGGAAATCTTGAAAGTGAGAGCAGTCCAGAAGAAAAGTATCCACTGTTATGGTATTCCACATGGCTTTGCTTCTAAGTAAGGAACTTACCTCACAGCCAATGAAGTGCACCAGTGTGCCTGTTCCTGGAGTTCACTGGTCTTAACGTGTTCCCCACCACCCCGAAGTAGCTTGATAGAATGGTGGAATGGACCTTTGAAGAACCAGGCCCAACACCGGCTAGGTGGTGGCGCTTTGCAGGGCTAGGGGAAGGTTCTCCGGGAGGGTGCGTACACTCCAAATAGGTGTCCCATATGTGCTTCTATTTCTCCCATTCCCGGGATTCACAGGTCTAGGAAGGGAGGGGTGGCCATGGGAGTGGCACCGCTTTTACTCCTAGTGACTGGCTAGCAAAATGTTTGTTTCCTGCCCCACAGCCTTATGCTCTATTGGCCTAGAGGTCTTTGTTCTAAGGGGAAGACACGACAATGATTCCACTGAACTGGAGCTAAGACTGCCACCAAGCCACTTCAGGCTCCTCGTAACTCTAAATCAACCAAGAAAGTCACAGAGCAAGGAGGAATTGGACGGCTACCCTCGCTATGGAGGCGAGTAAGAGTCTGTGTGCATAACAAGGGTTCCCTTAGGGTATTTCTTAGTATTACCATGTCCTGTGATAGAAATCAACCGAAAACTGCAATAACCCAATGGAGGCAGGACTACTCGGCAGGCCCTATAGGAATGAGGTCTGGGTCATTCCACCAGGTGAAGAACCCTGACCCGCTCAGATGCTAGCTGAGGGCAAAGAAAATACAGAATGGGTGATGGAAGAAGGGAATTTTAAATACCAGCTACGACCATGTGACCCATTGCATATGGGGAAACAATGATCAGATAAACAGCTGAATTCTCTTCAGAAATAATAACCATCAGGAGAAATAAAATGCTAACAAAAACAAAACCCAAAAAACAAAAAACTATCGGTCAAGGGTTTTGTATCAGGCAAAAGTATCTTTTCAAAATTGAAAGCAAAAGGAAGACATTTCCAGACAAATTTTATAAACTGAGAATATTTATGCCAGTAAACCTGTTCTATAAATACTAATAAATGGGTGCCAGCAGATGGTGTAATGGGTACATCACTAGACTCCCATGTAGTCGACTGCAGTTCAAGTTCCAGACCCGGAGACTTAAAACTCATGCCAGTGTGTATGTATGTATGTTCAAAATCCCAAGAGGAGAATGGAAAAGAAGGGATTGCAGTGTGGCCATCTCTCCTGGGAGGGTAATTTTTCACTGTCTCTCTTGCCGTCTCTCTCTGTCTCTCCAGCTAATGTACATACCCTATAGTAAAAATCTCCCCCAACCCCCCAAAAAAGAATAGGAAAAGTAAGTAGAAATATATTATTACAAGATTGCAATATTTTACTTGAAGTGATTCAGTATTAACTCTAAGTAGACTACGATAATTAGAAGTTACATTCTAGTCACTAGAGCAACCGCTGAAAACAGCGCAGAGAGATACAGCAAGAAAATCAGTAGAAGAATTCAAATCTAACACTAAAAAATTAAATGAACAGAAGGCAGGAAGAGAGGAAGAGTGGGATAAAACAACAGATCAGACAATTGGAAAACAAATTACAAATGACAACCCTGCGTACAACCAAGTCAACGAATCATTATATAAAAAATTGAATGAAAACTGGGATCAGCAGATGGCGTGGTGGTTAAGGCACTGGACATTCCCACATGGCTGACACAGTTCGAGTATCGGACCTGGTGGCTTGCTTTCTCACTTCCCCTCTTTCTCTCTCTCTCTCTGTGTCTCTCTCTGTCAAATTAAAAATAAAAATGAATAAATAAATTAAAAAATGTAATAAATATTCATGCCATGTGTTCCAATCCATACACATCTTTAGCTATTATCTCTTCATTTATGTAGATTTTCTTTAAAAGTATTTTATATATTTCAGTGTACAGATTTTGCAAAAAATTTTGTTAAATTTATTTCCAATTAATTACTTTTTTAGGAATGTATTGTAAATTGAACTGTATGGTTTTATTTTGCTTTGTTATTTGTTATATAGCATGTAGAAATACAATCAATTTTTATACATTGAACTTTTATTCTGTGACCTTAATTGACCTCCTTATTAGTTCAAGTATGTTTTTGTAGACTTTTTAATATTTTCTATAATACATGGTCATGTAACTTGTGACTAAACACAGTTCTACTTTTAGTTTTTTTTAGTTTGTTAGTCTTCCCCCCCCTTTGAATTATTTATTTATCTCATTCCATTGGTTATTATTATTTTTATTGGTTTTATTGTTATTTTTTTAATTTGACCAGAGAGAGACCAAGAGAGAGAAAGGGAAATTGGAAAAGCAAGCTGTCAGGTCTGGGACTTGAACTGCAGTCAGTCATGTGGAAGTCCAGTGCCTTAACCACCATGCTACCTGCCAGCCTGGTTTGTTAGTCTTTCAAGACTTTCTTTTTTCTTTTATTTTGCCTTATTTTTCTGGTTATGAGCTACAGGACAATGTTAAATGAAAGTGATAAAAAGAAACTTCTGTGCCTGATACCCAAAGAAAAACACTTTGGCTTTTCATTCTATGTCTTTCTGCATATTTGAAAAATTTCCAACTAGAATATATACATACATTACCTCTGAAAAAATACCTTTCTTATATATTTCCTAGATCTGTGACCATAGACAAATTATGTAACCTTCTGAACCTCATCTGTAAAATGGGACTGATGATATAATCATGACAGAGAATTGTATATATTACATAGGGAATGAATAATTATTGTGATTAATCTCTTTTTTTTAGAAAAGTATTATCACATTCTTTGAGAATTAGGAATTTAATGAAATCACATGTGCAAAATACTCAGCTAATGCCTGCCACGGAGTGGATTTTTCTTTTTCTTTTTCTTTTTTTTGGAGAGGTTTTTGCTATAGGGTGCGTGCGTTCGCCAGACAGACAGATAGAAAGCGAGAAATCACCCCCCAGAGGGGATGGTCACGCCGCAATCCCTTCTCCTCTCGGGATCTTGGGCACGCACACACACACGCCTGGCGTGAGTTTTAAGCCACCGGGTCCGGGACATGAACCATAGTCGACTACGTGGGAGTCCCGTGACACAGCCATTACGCTAACTGCTGGTCCCACGGAGTGGATTTTTCTACCTCCTTTCTTGCTTAAAAAAATACCGGTGGACATGTGAAACAAACCCCAGTACACTCTATGAATAATCACTTTCTACCTAGGTGACACAGGCAAATTAAGTAACCTCTCTGATTTGCAGTTTCCATTTTAAAAAAAGCTCTAGCTATACAGCATTGCTATGAGAAGTCTGCACCACGAATAGAAAATGCCTAACACAGGGTCTGGCCTACACTCCAAAGGCGGTGAGGCTCATGTGAGCACGCTTTCCCATTACTGCTCCTGTATATTTTACGTTGTTTTCCCAGTGCTGAATTATTAAACTCTGAGGGTTTTTTTGTTTTTGCTTTTTTTTTTTTTTCTAGGGAAAAAAAAAAGTAATGATCAGATAGTCTGAAACTTAATTCAAAGTTGTTATCCAGGGATCTTTTAAAATCTCCTTTAATCTGTCCCAATGTCCTGAATTTCTAAGCACACTTAGAAACATTTTTTTTTCTTATTAGAGTTAATTTAATTGACTAAACTATTAAAGTAGGGGCAATGGATCTGAAATCTACATATTACCATTTCATTCTGCAGTTAAGAGGCTGGACAGTTTCAGAAGCTATCCGAATTACTTCAAGTAATTAAATGGTATTCAATAAACTGCTAAATTGGTTTTTTTGTAAGTAGAAGACACTAGGAGAAGACATAGATTCTTAAGTGTGTAATTCCTTCCTAAGGAACTTAGTATCAACTATGGAAATTCAGCTCTAATATTCCTCGGAGTATGTTTCAGAAGGTGAATTACCCTTCTTGCTTTATCTCAGAGAAAACCACGACAGACAGAGGTTAAAAGACTAATTTGGGGCCAGCAGGTGGTGTGGTGGATAAGGCAGCTAGACTCTCACATGACTGACCGCGGTTCGAGTCCCCAACTTAACAGCTTGCTTTCCCACCTTCCTTCTCTCTTTCTGTCTCTCTCTGGTCAACTTGATAAAATAATGACAATGAATAAACTTAAATAAAATAATTCTAAAAAAAATACTAATTCTAGGTGTCTCAGGAAATCAAGAGGAAGATCACAGACAAGAATTTCAAAATCTTAAATCTTCTAAACCAGAAGACTATTCTCATTAGTTTCTACCCTTAGGTTATAAGCAAATTAGTCTATTATGTTTAGTGCTTTGCTTAAATATAATAAAATTTCATTAAGATATTCTACAATTAATATTTTATAACAACATTTAGAAGAGGTGCATGATGGATCTTCAAAAAAATGCGTGGAAAGGGGCCAGCAAGTGGCACGGTGGTTAAGACACTGGACTCCCACATGGCCAACCATAGCTTCCCACATGGCCGGCCATGGTTTGAATTCTGGACATGGAGGTTTGCTTTCTGACTTCCCCTCTTCTCTTTTCCTCTGGTCAAGTTGAAAAATAATAATAGTAAATAAAATTGAAACAACTAATTCTTGGGGCTGGCAGGTGGTGTGGTGGTTAACGCATTGGATTCCCACATGGTGGACCGGTGATTCGAGTCCTGGTGGCTCAAGACCTGGTGGCTTGCTTTTTCCCTTTCTCTTTTTCTCTCTCTCTGTCTCTCTGTGGTCAAATTAAAAAATAATAGCAAATGGAATTAAATAATTAAATAATTCTAAAAAATAATTCTTTTAAAATGCATGGAAAATGAGTACTATGAAAAAAGTCATGGATTAAAAAAATCGTACTAAAATGAACCTGTTTATTTTCAATGAATTTTTTAAAGTCCGCTCATATTCTCTCATAGAAAAATGAGTGAATGCTGCAGATACCTTAGTTTCTAGGATCTTAAGAAGGTAGTCCAAGCCTTGATTGTCTCTGAGCATTGCTCGGGACTCCTTATCATTTGTAATAACACCTAAGGTTTTGAGAGCCAACAGCTGAATAACTGGATACTCCGACTTCAAGAGGTCTAATATAGGAGGAATTGCATTTAATTCTTGAATTGCCATTCGACACCGAAAATCCTGCCATGAAATAAATACAAATGATAAAATCAAATCAGTAATTCTTAAAGCAAAATATAGTATGAAGAATGAAGTTCTGTTTTTTACCAATGAACATTATAAGTTATACTTTCCCTATCTTCTATTTCAGATTCCTTTCTAAAATAACTCACAAAAATAAGCAAACTTTCGACTGATACCACCTGATACTCATTTTAACTATGCAGACTTTGTCGACAGGAAATGAACATGATCTATGACTTTTGCAGGATCTGTTGTTCATTATACAGCAAATTCCTATTACTCTAAACAGAATTACAGTAGAATCTATGCATAATAAAACTCTTTTCACACTCTGATGTACTGTTCCAAATAATATTTGATAAAACAAAATGATGGCATCAATTCTTTATTATCTTCATTCAAATGGATTTCTTATGAACTACCTCTGTGCTGCAGTGCTGCTGAGAGGCCTTCTCCAGGCACATCTACAGCAGGTCTAGTTCAGATACATGACCTTTATTCAAGACATTTACAACACCAAGGCTACGGTCTAGACAAGCCACTCTGTTCGTGCGTCTCTAATTCTCTGTGAATGTGTAGAGTGGGGGTGAGCAGTGGAGAAAATGAGACAAGAAGCTATGAAAAGCCCTCAAACTCAAACTACTAAATCTGAATGTTTTAATCAAAATGTAAACACAAAATCATATTAAAGGTGGAAAAGGCCCTACTTACAGTGTAGCTTGCCTCTGTCCATCTTTCCACTGACCTCTAGAATTCATACACATGGTAAGTTGCTCTTTGTTACGTTGAACTGTGTCCCTGGAAAATGTATGTTGAAGTCCTAATTCCTGGTGCCTCAGAATGTGACTTGTTTAGAAATAGAAACATCATAGATGTAATTTGTTAAGATGAGGTTACTCTGGAGTGGGGTGGGCCCTTACTGGTGTCCTTGTGAGACTGATGTCCTTATAAGAGGGGGCAGAGATAACAGAAGAAGAGAGTGCAGTGATGTAGCCACCAACTAAGGAATGTTGAGGACTCATGGCCACCACCTACGCTGGGAATGGGGATGCTAGGATTCTGCCCACTCTCGGAGGGAGTACGGCCCTACTGACACCTTGATTTCAGACTTCTGGCTCCACGACTGTGACTTTCTATTGTGGTAAGCCATCTAGTCTGTGCTGCTTTGTTATAGCAACTGTCGGGAACTAGTACACTGTTATTAGCTAGTACTTCTGTAACTAAGGACTGAAAAGATCATTCTTTTCATTTCTACTTGAGAGAAAGAAAGAAAGAAGGAAAAAA